TATGTGATTAATATATTCTCTCTAGAAATCTCTAGGTCCTCTATGGCATCTTTGTGGTCAACTGTTGTTGGAAGCTGGCCATAGCGTCATACTGCAAGATCTAAAGAATTCCCAGATGCAATACCTCTCTGAGATTCTCAAGATCCTCTAGAACAGACTTTCTCAAACTATGCTCCACCAGATGTTTTGGACTTCATCTCCCACAATTCCTAACAGCTGGTAAACTGGCTGAGATTTCTGGGAGCTGAAATCAAAAACATCTGGAGGGGCACAGTTTAAGAAACACTGCTTTAGAGCTATTCTGTGGTCAACACCTGGCAGAAGTTGACCATAGGGTTGCTCTGGAGGACCTAGCGATTCCTAGAGAGATGTTCTCTCTCACACAAACAAACACACATATATAGTTTTCCCACTTTCACAGAAGTTGTGTACCTTTAACTCCCAAGAAAGTGGAGGCCCACTGTAGTTAGAATATTAAGGGGGATTGTGTTACATACTCCCCAAAGTAAGGAATGCTACCCTTGTCCCAATCTAGTTTTTCTACTGGTTTCCAGAGCATGAGACATATTGACTGGTATCTTGTTAGCTGTTATGATATCATAAACTGAGCATATGATATCTGAACTTCTACAGTCAAGAATGATCCTAAAAGCCTACCTTTGCAGCCCATAAGCATTTCAATCAGACTGGAGAGCTGGGAAATTATATCTACAGTATGTTTTCAGTCACAAAGAGCTTTGGGACAACCAGATATTGCAGTCTTCTGAGAGGTCTCTCTGACTGCCTCTTCTCAAGGGGCATGCTGTGGATGGCATTTCCCAATGCTCTCATCTCAGAAACACTTGAGATGCTGCCAAGCTGCAGAGGTAAGTTTTAGGGATGGGTGTTGTCAGCCATAACTATGTTGGTGGAATTCCATCATTGTAGTTATGATGACAATGCAGAAGTTTGGTCATTTTTCTCAGAATTAAGCCTCAGTGTGCTCAGTGGAGCTTACTCCCTGGAAAGGTGCATAAGATATTAAATCACTCAGGATAAACTCTAGATGATTTAGAATCAACTTCAATGGCAATAAGAAAAAAATTAAATCTCAATTGAACATGAAGAAATAGGTTTGAAAATAATGGAAGGATGGAAACAAAGAGTGACATAGAACTAGAAGTCCTTAAAGTATGAGCATTAAGCACAATCTAACCAAACCTAAGGTCTGGAATACTCTAGTTAGTTCCAACTGGTCTAGGTTCATTCAAACATGTAGGTAAATCCAACTGATTGCCCAGTTCTTCTCTAATCAGGAAACTGGGTGTAGATCAAGCTGTTAAAAATCTGTTCATCTCCATGAAGCTGCTTCTCTTTTGTGCTAACCTTCTCCCTACAATCATAATATGAATACGGCTAAAACTGTAGTATGTCCTCTACAGGGTACAGGGTTGGTGGAGTGAAAGATATAGTCACTGGAATGTCTAACACTTCTTTAACCTCTATCATTTCAGGATACTTGAGTTCAAGCCTCAACTAGCCCCCCACCCCTACTCCTAGGAAACAGAGGGATGAAGAAACACTTCTTTTTTCCAATAAAAAAGAAAAGAGAAAGCTGTGCAGCTATGTCTGAATTATATTGCACAAGAGTTATAGGGGATTACACTGTTGTACAATAGATCACAATGTGTTATGCTCAACTGTTGTGCAATGATATGAATATTCCTCCACTATCAAATTTAATGGAGGAACCTGGAAACTCGTAGAATGTATAATTTGTCCAACTTTTAGGTTAGTGTAATATCACTTGCACAACCCAAAATTAGGAAAGCACGTTTGTTCAATGTCTTACAAAGGGCATAACAGTATTTCCACCAGTGTAAGGCACCAACAGGATTATACCCTCAAAACAATTTAGGAATCAAGATCCATTCTATGCCAATTACTCACCAATGTGTTTCTTATTTATGGAAGGATGTTTAAGTGCTTTGGGCTTTATCAAGCAAATACTCGCAAGTCTAATCATGCTGAACATAATTTAGGAAAACTGTACAAATGAAAGTAATGCACTCTTTTCCCTGGGATTAGATCTGCACTAGAAACTATCATTCCTTTTAGAAGCTATCCTTAATGCCCATGGGAGTACATGCAATGGAAAGAGGCATGTTGTATGTGTTTTCATCAAAGAATTATTTAAGATCCCGTGGTATCAGAAGTAATGTCTATGAGTTCTTCTGATCACATTAACCTGGTGGAATTAACTTGGAGCAAAAACAAAGTATTCAGGTTCACCAATGTCTATGTAACAAACCCAGACTGTCATTATAAGGTGATGGAAATCAAGCATCCAGCAGTTGTGAGCAGAACCCACAAGGGTGAGAAGTATTTTGTTCACAATGAAAAGGAACAATCTGATGTTTTTTTTTCTTTTAGAAAAAGAGCAAAATGTTCAGTTTTCACATTGTACATTTATCATAATATTTATATTTATATTTCTTTATTTATATTTATATATATTTATAAAAGTTTGTTTTATTTTAACCAGAGTGCTTTGCATGGCTCTAGAGTGTCATTAAATAATCCAAACTGAGTGATGGGAGTGAAGTTAATTAAGACTGAATACAACATTCACATATTTCACCCATCACAAGAAATGTCCATATCTGATGAAACAGTGGGCCCAATTTTTTTCAGGTTATTTTTAAAGAAATTCAAACAAGCAGGATGATTGAGACAAATGGAGAATCTGCAGCTGGTTTCCTATGTATATATCAAAAGTAGGTAAGGATACATTTTTTAAAAAATACCTTAACAGCTGTACCTTTCATCTGTGTAACTGTGGTATCAAAAAATAAAAATAAAATAACAACATAATATAGAAAAAGAGAAGGGAATAAATTATGCATAATTTACTATATGGAAACAGCTGACCATTGTTATCCTTATCATTATTATAAGTACCATTACAACACTAGCGTGAAGAGTCAGTTCAACTGAAGATGGGAAAACCCAACACATAGTCGGCAAATACATCCAATAACCAATACAAATAAAACATTTCTGACATAGTGTACTACTCTGAAAACCAATCTAGAACAAGTATTTTGACAGAGAAATTGAGATTGAGATTGAGAGAGATAAGATGGAAAAAAGGGAAGAAGAAAGGGCAAAAAATATAAGAGGAAAGAGAATGATGCTAACTGTGGGATAAAGCCAACATCAGGCCTACTTATCTTCAACATTAGCCCACTTGAAATCAAGAGCATTTGTGTTAGCTGTGGCCCAAAATTTCCATTCATTTCAATGGGTCTCCTCCTGAATTTAGTCTAAAGGGATTAGAAAAAAATATCATGCATCCTTACCGCCCAAAAGGACAGACTTTGCAGAGAGACAGTTATATGTGCAGTAGCATTTTCTCATGAGCAATATGGCCATACTTCTTCACAGGATTAATGGAGATGACTAGAGACTGATTGATCAATTCTTAAACTGGTTTTAACTGTATTTCATCTTGACTATCCTACTTACTCAAATAGCCTTGCAAGCTGATTTTTTCCCCGTAAGGTGTTCTGTAACATTCCCAGTGCTTGGAGTTCTTGAAGTACCATCTGAATTATTCAACACACAATCCAATACTCAGAGATAAATAATTGGGATTTATACTCTAATAAATGGGTTTAGGATTGCAGGAATACAAGTGGAGAGCTTGGGCAAGGAACTAAACAGAACTCAGAAGCTCTGAACTGTCCACAATAACCTCTCCAGGTTTCTGGGTCTATCAGGCATTGCTAACTCACAGTCAAGAATATCTTTGCAATGGTAATGGCCAGAGGAGGATTTCCCAAAGTCTGGTTTTCCATAACTCAAGCTCCCAGAATCCTTTGTCAAGGCAGTTGAGTATTCTAAGAGTTAAAATCCAAAACACCTGGAAAAACTAACATTTCGGAATCACTAGGATAAGGGTTTTTGCTCTAATTTCACAAAGGAACATTGGGATATTCAAAGTTCCATTTGGACTCTATATTGTACCATTATTTTCCTATGCTTTCATCTCTTTTTGTTGTAGTCACCACATAGGATGGGATTTATATTGGCATATTGAACAGCAGAATAAACCTCTTCCATGTGATTCACCTATCAGCCCACCTCATACACCAACTAGATAGGAAACACTGGATAATTGCTGAATGGGTAAGTCAACTGTAAGTATAACTGAACTCACAGCATGCACCACAAATTGTTTATGCAAATGTTCTTCCATTCAGCTGACATTTTCCTACTGATTTTATTTGGCTAGTTTCAAGGTGGAGGGATCTGATTACTATGTATAAGTCAATAAGGGTTAGGATCCTACACCACAGATGTAGTTGCAAAAATGAAATTAGATATTCTCTCCTGATCTGCTTCCCCAAAACTACCTTAACAATTAACAACCACACTAAGCAATAGAGATTTGTTCTGCTCATGACTAGAGTGCTATAGGATGATATTTTCAACTTTTCATCCCCTTCCAATCAGTGAACTTCAGTGCAATGAGGAGTTGTGACATGGTTCCTGCTTCTGATTGTTGCATTGCAGCTTGCTGATGGGAGGAGGATGAAAATGCCATCCTATAGCCGTCACTTTCAGTAAGAGATCTCTATCACTTAGTGTGGCTGATGATCGTTAAGGTAGGTTTTTGTAGGAGGCACTTGCTATCGGGGTTATAGTGCTGCAATTGCAAGCATGAACAATGAACAAGTAAGTATAAAGTTTAGAGAATTGGGGAATATATCAATGGCTTGCGGAAACTTCCTATAATACCAAAAAACACCAGGGTCCATGATGCTAGGGAAATGCTAGCTAGTCATGTATTATAATGCTTGGCTAGAATAGCAATCCATCTAATCCATAGAAGTGAACACAACACCATGATGAATGGGTCCCCCATGTTGGGATGTCCTCCCCTGAACCATAGCAATGACAATTTGTTGGGCATAACTTGCTTTGTTGAATCTACACAGTCCTTTTCTCCTCATGGCCATTTTGAGAAGGAGAATGATCACATGCATTGGATAAATAGGTACAGTTTTGGACTGCACTGACCATGGCAATTCTGGTGCTGCAATGTAAAAAAGCATAATTTCTAACTTCTGTATGAATAGTCATACAAAGTTTATGTGTTTTTTCACACAAGATATTATTTGCATGATGTTTGGGGGCTATGCTTTGTGGGTTACAGGTCTGAGCCATCACATGAAAGAGGAGGAGGTTACTGTCCATCTTAACGTCTGGAAACAAAACCCTCCACATTTGTTAAACCCAAATATTATATTAGGAATATAACATTCCAAATAGTATATTAGAAACACCTAATACACCCTAATGCTATACATAGCACACAAACATTTGCAAATCTACCTCTATATGTAGCAATTTGAACTGTAAAACCAAGGATGTCATGACTCAGTCATTGAGAAATATAACACATAAATGAAAGTTTTCCCTAACAATGGTCTGGTGATGCTTTCTTATTTATACCATTATCAATCACAACACACATATACAAATCCAAGATTTTCCATTTTCTCTCTTTCTCTCTCTGTTTCACCTGAGAACAGCACCTATAGTTTCTGTTAACATTTTAAAAAATTGATTTACAAAATTATAACTTTTTCAGTTGTTGGTAATCAGGTTCTCCAAAGGGATTGTCTAAGACACAACATTGTCCTAACTTAAGACAAAAGATGATGCGAAAGAAATAAAGAAAAAAGACAACCAACTAGGAGAGCAAAACATGAAATGGAAGTCATTCAGCCCAGGAGTACAGATTTGGCACTTGCTCAAAGATTATATCTGGTGTGCAATTGGTAAAAAGGGGCCTTGTGGAGGAAGGGAAGGGGTTGATTGGTTGGAGTTGTGGAAACAGAAATACAGTATACCTGGTGTAGCTAATGTGGCAATATTTACTCAGTTCACATGCATCAAGGCTGAAAAGAGCTCCAGGTTGGAGATGGCCAAGCAAGTCTTCCAAGATGACGTTGCCAACTGGCAACTTGGGATCAAGGAAACTGATCTAAGGATTTTTGTAGAGTAGCATGAAATGACAGGCAGGTGTAGCTCCAATTAATTGTAATTTTGGGAACTAGATTATGTATTGGGTGGAGGTCATGGCTCTGTTTTCTAGAATAGAATTTGTTTGTAGTAGAGCTTGGAAATACTATTGTTTGAAATATCAATAGCAGAATCCCTATGATGGCTGGGGGTTTCATGGAACTGTAGTTCAAAAAATAACTTCTCCAAGCACTGAACTGCAAAAGGTCCCTGACCGACCATGAGGCAGCTTCCTATGGTTCAAAAGTATGGACTATAAAACCACGGGATTATGAAAAGGTTGTTATAGCCTGCTAAGGACATACATCTCCATACATTCCATTCTTGCATACAAAAACAACTAATTTCAAAAGTATTTCTCTCCCTGGGGCATTTTTGTACATTTTTGTTGATTTTTCACATTTTGGGACCTTTTTTGTAAAAAGAAAATCATTTAAAAGAAAACACAAAAGTTTTGTTCCTTTTTGCAAAATTATACTTCTTTCTACTGAATGCATTATGTTTTTCTTTTTTGTCACACAAAACAAGAGGTTTTTTTTAGGAAACTTTTTTTCACACATTAACGTCAATTCCAAAATTAACTATTTTCCTCAATGGAATGTCTCAGTTGAGGGTAAGAAAATTTACAGGACTTTTTTTTACATTACTAAAGCCTTCACACTGATCAGCTTGCACATGTTGAGCCAGCACTGTGCTCTTGAACAGTTCTTGTTTACTGAAGCTGTTCCACATCATGCCCTTGGATCTCTTCTTTGCCCCTGAGCAATAGCTGTATGATAGACTGTGCAATGCCACATGGGCCAAAAACTGGTGTGGTTCCCACATTCCAGCCAGAATAATAAGTACCATGAGCTGTACTTCTGGAATGAGGAAAAGGGGAAAAAGTGGCAAAGTTGAAGGGGAAAGTATAAAGGATTTTATGATCTCTTTTTTTTCATCATCAGGTGCATTATTGACTCCGAATCCCCCACCCCAACCCCAAAAATCTTATTTTTCTTTAAACTGTAGCACAAAACAACAGAACACATTCACAAGCCACTTGTTGGCACTGTGTACCTGAGTGAGAATTTTTCTAGAACATTGTAGAACAAACAACCATAAAGTTTATTTGAAAAATAATAATAATAATAATAAAAGGTTGAACGGGTAAGACTTCAGTGCTTGGGTATAGCAGCTGAATTACTGGCATTATGTTACCCATAGCTTATTTTTGTCCATTATTTTTTTTTCATTTTTGTCATCATTAGTTGTCCTCATTGTCATGGTTTCTTTCTCTGAGCCTTTGTCTCTTTTAATTTTTTCGTTTTGCTTTCAAAAAGTTTTTGATGCAGGGCTGATGTCTATTGATCAGCTGATGTCCCAACTAGTTAAGACTAAGAGTTTTAAGTAACAGTCAGTGTTTGAGGATTAAGTTCATGTGCTTGGCCACTGGGTCATGAACCAGTTGGGGCTTTCCTTTGAAGTCCTCCAAGATCAACATCAAGAACTGGGACCCCTTATCAGTTGGCTTGTCCTGCAATGTGATTTTCACTGTCACTGCCATAGTCTACATCAGGGTCATCCTCCTCTTCATCATACTCATCAAATATTTCCCCATTGATGTCGTCGGTCTGCATCTCCTCTTTGACGTGAGAGGTCTCCTCGTTTTTGATGCCGTAAGTGCTCTGGATAACAGGCATCCCAGGCTCTGGGCTGCTAGACACACTTGAGTGCTCTGAGGGCAGGTGTGGGGAGGGCATCCCAGCCATGGCAATGGCCCCTGGGTAGACTACACCAGCTGTTGCAATAGGAATCTGTGCTTGTTGTCTGTTGGAAGAAAGGGGAGCAAAAGGAAAGTTAACAGTGTTTTCTCAAAAGTGACCCATTCATTCTCATAAGCTCATAACTTCGTGTTGCATAATCACAGGTGAAACTGATCAATACGTAAGCTAGCCTAAAACACCTCCCCATGCTCAGCTACTCTGCTATCACTTTGTGGATAATCAGTAGAGGGAAAAGAACATTCAAATTGCACACTCAAATTATTGGTGATCTGGAACCACACTTAACTCCTCATAGTGAGAATTCTCATTTGATGCTGCTAGAACACAGCCATACAGCCCAGAAACCATGCAACACTCCAGTGATTTGGGCTGTGAAAGTCTTTGACAACTCATTTAACGACTTAGAGTCAGACATCCACATTGGTGCATTCAACTTTTGTGGATTTGATTATTCACATATTTGATTAAAACGTTCTCTGTATTATTTAAATAGAAGACTGTGACCCCTTAAAGAAAATATATTATCTGAAAAATGATTATAGAACACTAATAGCTAGAAAGTATTGCACTGTACGCAACAAACACTTACAAATGTATGTCTATTTGAATAAATAAATAAATCATTAAAAACATTCTCTCTGGGAATCTCTATGCCCTCCAGTGCAGCACAATAATCAATTTCCTCCAGAAATAAGGTATAACACTCAATCTAGACCAGCATTTGCCTGGGATTCTGGCAGCAGGAGTCTGAAAACTAACTTTACCTATCTGTGATCTAGACATCTGATCCAATGCTGTGCTTTGGCTCTATGTTTCCATAAGACATCAATAATACTTGTAATAACCTTCTTATGCAAGCGTAAAGTGGAAAGTGAGATCATGCACAAAACTCTCCTTTTCAGACATTGAAATCCTGGAAATGTATGCATCTTTTAAAATTTTAGGCCTTCTCAATTCCTTCTCCAAATCTTGGAACGGCGGCTGTGTTTATATGCCTCCGAAGCTCCAGGGTCCCTGCAAAGCGAGGGGTTTAGCTCTGAGTCTGCTTTTGTTGTCTTGCAGCATGGGCTAATTCAATTGCGATAATATTGTGCAGAACATGCTTCACATTGTAATGTCATCAAAGGTGTGTCCATCTGCAACGGAAAGCCTTGCCACGGGAGACAAGAAGGGAAATCCCTGGAGTGAAGGAGACTGAATTGAGAGAAAAAGCTTGCCCTGGCCCTTTTACAGTGAGGGTACAATACATCTCAGAATGATCCTGCAAACCTCCAGGGCATGGCTGGCACTGAAATTTTGACATTTCCAAATCTCTTGCTTCTTGTCATCAAGGAGAAGGGAGCTGTTCATGCATCAGACAAGCAGAATTATCTGGGGGAGTCAATGATCAGTCTATGTACAGACCTGTATAAAGATTTTTCAATGGGGACTGCTTTATGTATGTGATGCTTGCTGGCTTTGCCTGTGTACAGGTGATCTGTTTAGGAAAAACAATGTTTCTAGCTGGCACAAATTCTATTGGGACAGTCTGTTGACCTCTCAGACCAGACTGACAGTGACCGGTGGCTCTTGCTTCAACAGAGTAATGTCTCTATTCCAGAAGCCCATTTACACTACAGAATTAGGTTTGTAGTTCAGCAAGTCTTACAACCTAATCTCATGCAGAGGAGAATCAAAATATATTGAAATCAATCAATCAGTCTGGCATGGGATTGACACAGCCTTAGCTCTATATCTTAACATATGTCACATTCTTCAAAGAACCCAACATCAGTTCCTGATTTATGTCCCCTTGCAGACTACAAACACCTGATTTAGGGCATACCTTTCTGTAGTCGCTATAATTTGGACTACCACTGTTCCCCCCACTGCTGACAGAATTTGGCACGCTGAATAAGGAAGTTGAATAACATTTCAAACCTTGGAAGATTAATATTTTTTCTAACATTGTCAAGCATGAGTGTTGGCGAGATAAGTGGAATTTTGGAAGCTTTGTTGCTGCCTATTCTTCCTCCAAAAGGTCTTCCCCTCCCTCTCTTTTTAATCTCCTGATGCCAAGGATTGGCCGGCATCCCTATGTTTGTTTCTGCGCTTACCAGTGGGATCGCTGGACGTGCCAACACCACAGGGTTAAGCGGCTCAGATTTCTGGGCTGAGCTGCTTATTATAACAATGCACACTGTAGCTGTTTAAAAAACTGCCTGGTGACACTTAGCAGTAGCTGGACAGATTCATCACCGTTCATCGTTCCTGACATCCATTAACCAGACTCAAACAGCCGGCTCTCGTTCCAAAAACATTGGGCACGGTCCAGCCACGGTAAAGCACTTTAGAGTCTCCTTGATTTCAACGGGAGAGATTTAAACCTGCACTTAACTCCTATATTGGAAAATCTGCGGGACTCAAAAGTGCTTAACTTGGGACGGCTATGCATTAATTCAGATATCAGCACTGAATGCCATAATACCACGCAGGCCAGCAGCCACCACTAAATCTTGCAAGAGTGAATTCCTTAAATTGATTGTACATTGAATATGAAGAAATATTTTCTTTTCTTTCTCCAATTGAATCAGGGAAGGCAAGAGAAAGTACAGTACAGTAAGAACCCAGTATCCACGAGAGATACATTCCTGGCTATTTGAAACCACATCACAGAATTGTCTGGAGGGCCTAGCAAATTCCCAGAGATGATTCCCCCCCCCCCACTTTTTTTTGGTTGTGTCAGGAGTGACTTGAGAAACTGCAAGTCGCTTCTGGTGTGAGAGAATTGGCCGTCTGCAAGGACGTTGCCCAGGGGATGCCTCGATGATTTGATGTTTTTATCATCCTTGTGGGAGGCTTCTCTCATGTCCCCGCATGAGGAGCTGGAGCTGATAGAGGGAGCTCATCTGCCTCTCCCCAGATTTGAATCTGCGACCTGTCGGTCTTCAGTCCTGCCGGCACAGGGGTTTAACCCACTGCGCCACCGGGGACTCGATTTTCCCCTGATATGCATAAGTGAAGCCATAGATGTGGGTTCAATAGTTATAGGGATCTTTACAATATATTCTGATGTTTGGGTATGTGCACTGTTACTTATGCAGTCAAACCGGCACCATCTTTGCATACATCTGTAAGCATAAGATTAAAAAGAAAATGGTACCCCTGTTGAATCTCTAATTGCATCAGTCTGAACCAGAAAAACCTTAAATGCCTGCTATTGTTTCATAAAGTATTTAATCTCAAGGCATCCATATCAATTTTCCGTTCCTTTCCTACTTTAATCGCACCATCCTGAACAAGGGAAATGCTGTGTTCCTGCTCATGTATCACAAGGTATTTTACTACACATTTCCTTTTGGACTAGAGTAAATGTAATATGCCATGGAGGGCGCATACCCAACATTGAAATACTGCCTCATCTCTTGACGTCGATTGCGCATGATTGCCTTGTATTCACCGATTCGCAGCTTCTTCCCATCCACTAAGCAGGTGCGCTTCGGCCTGGGCTTGTACTTGTAGTCTGGGTACTTCTCCAGGTGTTGCTTGCTGAGGCGGGCTTGCTCCTCATAGTATGGCTGTTTCTCAAGGTTCGTCATAGCTTTCCAGCGAGAGCCTGACAGAGGGAAAATGATGACAAAGAGGTCTGTTCATTGTTGAATTGGCCAACTTTGCAGAAACCAATTTGGGCAATGAACTCGATGAGCTCAAAGCATTGGTTGGGAACTGGCAAAATGGGGACCTGATTCAGACCTTAAATCATGAAATTTAATGGTAGTTGGCTTAACTGTATTATAATATAGAAAATAATTTTTGATGGTCTGCTTGGAACCTTTGAAAAATTCTCATCTTGCCCCACTTCATTTAATAACAATAATAATGATAATAATATTTTTGTTTGCTGTGGACTCATCCTGTTGTGTTTCATAACAACAACAACAACAACAACAACAACAACAACAACTTTATTCTTGTATCCCACCACCATATTCACGAAGGGACTCGAGGTGACTTACATATAGCACAAAATGCCTAAAACAGAACATAAAATGAGAACAATTTTAAAATAAAATAAAATAAAATATATAAGCATATAAAGAACAACTAACATGCAATTTAAAACAGCACTCATTACCAATGGGGCAAACTACTATAATTGTGGCCAAGCTGTAAGTGATCGAACTAGGATTGGGATAAATGCAATGGTTTAACCATGGGAAGAAGGCATGGGATAAAGTGCAAGACAGCATAACAATTGCATAGATCAACTAGGGAGTAGGCGTTCTTGAAAGCTTATTTAAAAAGCCAGGTCTTCAGGGCCCTATGAAAGGATTACAGTTTGGGGGCTTGCCTAAACTCCCAGAGCCAGGGGGCCACCAGCGAGAAGGCCCTCTCACTCATCCCCACCAACTGTCCTTGTGACGGTGGTGGGACCATGAGGAGGGCCTTCCAGGCAGATTTTAGAACCCGTGCCCGTTCATAGGGGCGCTGCGGTCATGGAAGATTTTGTCTGCTATCTTTGACAATTCCACTCTGCCTTCTGTCATTCTTTTACATACAGTCCACATTCAAATCCACCACAAGCCTAGGAAGCCTCCCAAGTCCTGAACCAGTGCCTGACAGCTGTGATGATCTGGATGAGGACTAACAAACTGAAGCTTAATCCAGACAAGACAGAGGTCCTCTTGGTCAGTCGCAAGGCTGATTGGGGTATAGGGTGGCAACCTGTGCTCAATGAGGTAACCCCCCTCCCCCAAGGATACAGGTTTGCAGTCTGGGGTGCTCCTGGACTCATCACTGACACTTGAAGCCCATGTGTCAATGGTGGCCAGGAAGGCCTTGATACAGCTAAAACATGTGCACTAACGGTAGCTGTGCATTGAAAAGCCAGACTTGTTTGTCTACTGTTTATTGCATACATTATTTTCTGTATCTGTTGATTGTTGTAAGCTGCCCCAAGTCCCTTTGGGGACAGGGGGCATAGTATAAATAAAAATATTGTTATTGTTGTTGTTGTTATTATTATTAAACTGCATTTTGCTCACATGGAGAAATAATATTCATTTGCTATTTAGTTTGCTTTACTTAATGGAGCTGGGTGGAGAGATTTTTGTTGTTTAAGAAAAGTACCCATGATGCTCATAAAGCTGGGTTGGGATATTCGGGGGAGAAAAAAAATGAAATGATCCAATGGGATATTAGTCAAGCCTCGTAGTGCTCAGTCTCTTTGGGGAAAGCAAAATGAGCCTGGCTGTGAAAACAAACACGGGGTGGAAATTATTCTTATGTTCCAATAGGGAAAATGTTGCAACGACATTGTGGGGGCTGATCGAATCATAACTTGGGAGAGACGGTGTTGTCCTTCCTATTTGCTGCATTTAGATCATGTTATTACACTTGGAGTATGCCTACATCATACCCCCTAGACAGTTTTCACTGTATAAAAAACAATTTTCCTTCTGTCTACAAAATATTATCCTTCTTGTCCTTATTCACTTGCAACATAAAAACACCAGGAGAAAAAAAAATAGTAAGTTTCATTATTCTTTACTGAGAGCCAGTTTTCCATTGCTAGGTCATCTTCTCTTTTGAAATTTTCAAGAGAGGGAACCCAAGAAGGTAGATTCTGGGAACTGTAGGCAAAAAAGTAACTTTCACAAGCTCTGAGTTGGGCAGTGATAAAAAAGAATATAAGCACCACCTGGAAGAGCAATGGGGTCACTGCTACTCTTTTTGAGATAGGATCCAGCACTTTTAATATCCTATGTAACATTTCAACAGGAACCTACAGTTCTTGTCCAAATTCATCACCCTTTTGATGCCAGAACCACATTTCTGCACTGAACAGATCACAACTAGTAATGTGATACACCAAATGATTGTTACAGTACTTTCAATAGTACATTTCACTGTAGGGCCATCATAATGTAATGGTTTGTGTGTTGGACTAGAACTCTAGGGAACCAGAGTTTGAGTCCTGCTCAGCTCTGCAACCCACTTGGCGATATTGGGCAAATAACACCCCTTCAGCCTCAGAGGAAAGCAATGAAACCACCCTTCTGAACAAATCTTGGGGTTTTCTTAGCAAGATTAAAGGTTGTTAATTATTTCAAGGTAAACAACAACAACAACAACATTTCACTGTAAAAAGGGCTTGATAATAATTATCTTAGCTACCATCACAACCAGCAAGGCAAGAAAGACTGAGAAATAGTAATTTGCTCAAGACTTCATAGCAGAAAACTATGGCTAAGATCCTGTACCATGAACCATCTTCAGCATGTAGCTATAATAAGTCCCCTGGTACAACTCCCACAACCCACCATTTCAGTATAACTGCCTCCCTTCCCAAATTGCTCAGATGTCCAATGTTGGTGGAAAGCAAAAGGAGCAACAGCGATATATCTTATCTACCCTTTTTTCTTTAACTGGACACAATGAAACAGACGATCATAGGAATATTGCACGTGTCTTGGGATGGCTCCTGCGGATGAAATTATTTCTAAATGGAAATAGCTAGTCACATCTCTCCTGCCCACCTGCTTTTCAACAACACAGAAATGGCTATCTTGCTGGGAGAATATCACGCTGAAAAGGTGGACTTTGAAGATAATTTTGGTTAGCTGCTAGTTGGAATACAATTCCAGTCTCTGCAAAATGTATGTTTATGATGCATAAATTGGACTTATGCCATTGTAACTCCTCACTAACAGGATATCCACTAGTGTCTCTATTTGCTCAACTTTAAAACAGTTTGCTACCTGACAAAGATTACATCGCTATCCACCAATTTTAAGTAAAGAAGTGGAAATGACCAGCAATTGAATGTTGTCGTTGCTGCTATCATCATTATCAACCAGCTATATCCCATAAACACAAGGATGGCTCCAAAATTAAAACAGATACACCACAGCTACACCACAGCTACACCACAGCTACAAATTTTCCATCAAACAAAAGTTACAGATATAACTAAACTCTCAATAAAATTAAAAACAATTAAAAGCTTAACACCACTGGAAAAAAGCAGTTCCCTTTGAGCCTCAAACGTCTGGCAAAATACTAAGGTCTTAAAGAATTTATGAGAGGAGAGCAAAGAGGATGCCAGCCATGAAGCCATGTTATGTCCTTGATTGCTAGTGGAGTTCAAAACATTCTCCTCCTTGCGTTTCTTTACCCAACGCAGGGCAAAAGTTCTTTTATCTTTCAGCATTTTTTTAAACAACCCAGAAAGTTTTAGTAGAGACATTCATGTAGCAAGGAACAGATGGAGGACAAAAATGCACACCGATGACCGCTAACAAATCAGTACAGGTTTCCCCCTCCCCCCTTTTTCCTTTTTAGTGCTAGAATATAATATTATGGTGTCAATATCTAACCCCTGGAGAAGGCATTCTTCTCATTGTACTACCAAAGTCAGAAGCATACCATGCATGTGTACATGCAGATACACAAACACATAGCCGGATTAATGAACAATCTCATTTAAATTACAGCCAATGACATATCAGATAGCCGACCTCAGTGCAATGTCAGATTTGTTTTGATTTTTAATTTTAAAGCAAGGCAACGATGGCGGGTTAGAACAATTGATGCTTTCTTGCAAAGAGACCCGAATACCTGGCTGATCTGTGAGCTCCTACTCACTCTCCTTCCCCTAGTTAATAGAGAGTTCCCTGCTGAGTTCAAAAACTGGCCTTTGACAACTCAGAAGGGACCTTTGCAAAGTTTCCGCCAGGAAAGAAGAGAGCGGCTCACCCTGCTTTATTGCAAAGGAGGACGAGATTCTCCCCCTGGTCCTCTGATGTTTCAAAGACAGACGATCTTTGCCTCTCGCACGCTTTCAAACCTCACCGCTCTCGCAGTGCAAGGAGTTTGAGAGTGGAGCTGAGGACTGTCATCTCTATGAGAATCTGGAATGGATTTGCACATTACACTCCACCTACTGTATATTTAATCAGAAAAAGATGGCTCCGATATGCTCGCTGCATTCTCCTCCAGCGCACACCGGCACAGCCTAGCACTAAACAGTAAAAGGTGATCCCTTATGTTAAAAATTTCAGCTGAAGTGGCTTATTAAAACCAGATTTGGAGGGTATTAGAAAATGCTTAGAAGCCCTTTAAAATGTCAACGCGGATCCCCTAGAGACTAAGCGAAATGTCAGTCCAGCTCAAGCGCCGATTTTAAGCGGAATGAATTAGCGGTGGGCTGTTGGAGGTTGTTATCCAAAACAATCAGTTAAGATGGGGAAAACATCAAACTCCCTTTGTACTTTTTATATGAAAAGTAGTGGTGTGGGGAGGAGGAAGGGGAGATGTTCACAGTGATCTGACCAATTTCTGAAGATGATTACTTAAAGGCAAGTTTAATCAGGACCGCTCTTAAATCCCGAGACTGGACCAAACTGTTTGCCTTCCGACTCATATGCCTAATCCCACAGCCGTAACCGGTTTTAAATCCTTCCTGCTGGCGTATAAAACTTTTATCATTCCTGGAACAAATGTAGACTCCTTATCGCACTTTCTTCTGACTAATCTAATCACTTCAGACACCTCTGTTAAAGCCATCCTACCTGTCATCCATAACCAACTGCTTGTATGCAAGCCTCCTTGAGTCTGTTCAATAGGGGAATCAACAGCAGTGCTTAATCCTGCTCTTAAGGGTAGCTCTGCTGTGGCTGAATTCCACTGGTCAGATCAAGCCAATCTGCACATTTATGCAGAACAGAGTGACAGCATTTCTGACTGTAAAGCTTCAGCTTGTAGGGAGGATATCACAAATTTGAAAGCTCCCTCCTAGAGTCAGCAAAGCAGAATGCCACAACAGGAAACAGGATCGATCTTTTGTGTTGTTGCGATTTACTGCTAAAAGGAGTCAATCACATGGAAATATTTTCCACATGTGGAATTATGTTTTGATTGTGCTAGGCAACCTTTGTGTTGAAGAACAACATTGGAAAATTGAATGTGTGCCTCAATGCACAATCAAATGCACTACTGAATGTACATATAAGTCACATGCAGCGCATACTCATCTGATGCATATGCACATGTGTGTGGACAATGGCATCACATGTACAATTTTCTCTCACTCTTGTATTGAATGCAACAGTTGTGCATTGAACAATAATTTCCAACTGCTACCATCAACAGGATTAAGAACAAAAGAGAGTGAACCTGCTCAATAGAACTATAATCCACATCCAACAGAAGCTCAGTAATAAGATCTCCGTGACCAACTAGAGTGGTTGTTTCTATGTGATTGAAGCAATTATTGGTGCACTTTTCATTTACAGGACAAATCTGGGATGCTGAAGCTATTTGAGTCAGTGTTTAGCACCTTGAATAGGATCTTTAAAGTTCAGATTCAAACTCATAGCAGGTTAAGCACAATTTTGCAATGCATACTTAGAAAATCGTTGACTATTTATATGATTTTAAATCACACATTAGAATTACAAATGAACACATGGACAAAATGACAAGGAGTCATAATACATTAAATTCTCCATCCATACCCATAACAGAAGAGTTCTTCAAAAGATCAAATATTATGTTTTCTTACCCAGTATTTTGCTGATGTTTGAGTTATGCATATCAGGGAAGGCCTGTAAGATCTTCCTCCGTTCATCTTTTGCCCACACCATGAAGGCATTCATTGGGCGCTTGATGTGGGGCTCGTTGCTCCCACGTCCTCGGGCTTCCCGATAAATCCGAGACTCTGATACTCCAGCACTTCCTGAAATATTGATATAAGAGGGACAAAAGAATAGGAAATTAAGCATATCTCAATGTGTTTAGCTGTCTTCTGAGAAACTGAGAGACCTATACATTTAGTCAATGCATTATGTTGAAAGTGGTTTCTCTTTGCAACAAACCAGAGGAGAATCAGGACCTTTTCTCTTATTACTGAAACACATTGGCCTTTTTAGTGCATGAATGGGTAGTACTATTAAAGCAACACAGATATGGAACAGAACTACATATAATGCTCCCTCCATCCCATCATCTGATAACACTATGTAACAAAATTTGAAAAACTTTCTGTCCCTGGTTTGAAAGTGTTATTCCTGTTTAATTGTGTGGTACTTGCTTTGAAAGTAGTTGTTATGTTTCAGAAACTTCATTTTGTGACTGCCACAAACTATGTTGAATTGGTTGATACTCAATGAGATATTCATTTAAAAAGTATAACAAATGTTCTGCAGGATGTCCTGCAAAAACAAAGTTTTTGCAATTTCATAAAGCTTTCCCAGGATATAATGATAGAACAAATTAGGAAATGAGATTTACAACGCAATAACAAAATTGTGTAACATAGTGTAATAATATGATAGTTTGATTATTGCATTTATATGCCCCTTCCCCCTGATGTATTCATCTCAGAACACTCATTCTTCCCCATCTGAGCCATTGATTCATTGTCAGACTTGCTTTTACACTGGTAAGAAGTAGCAATGGTGATGGGCTCTACCAACTCTTGACAGCTGCAAAGAAGTGAAGTTTTGGATGGAGGCAAAGTGCCTAAGAATAGACCCTTGTGCCCCATCCAAAGAAAGGCATGCAGGCAATGCACATGGAACTAGCATGGGCAGAGCATTATTTTCTGCCTTCTTAATGGAGTATCACTTCCAGTTGGATTGCTTGATGATAACTAAAGTTCCCTGGAAATCAACAATTTGTGATTCTGGCTACACGCCTTCAACTAGGGATCAGAATAAAGTGACATCCTCTTACATTGGAAGGAATGTGGCTCATGGTCTATGCATTCCTCTGTCAAAATTGGGCAAAACAATATGTCTACAGCAGCTGTTCCCAACCTTTTTTTGAACAGGGACCACTTTGACCAGGGACCACTCTCCAACATTAGTACCAAAATAGTTGCAAAGATTCAGTTTGGTTATTTGGGGAGCTGATTCAGAAAATTACAATGGATAGGCCACATCAACTCTAGTTTCTAATACAGAACATATGCCATCCAGTAGTCATCATCTGCTCACCCACAGAATACCATGTTTAATTAGCCTGGGCACTATAAGAGGGTTTCATCAGACCAGTCACTCTCTTTGCAATAGTGTAGTAACAATGAGGCCACAGACCATACTTAAGTCCTTGCAGACCACTGGCAGTCCACAGACACATGTTGGGACCTACTGGTCTACAGAAACCCCAAGTTTTGCCCAAACAATGAGGTCTTCCAAACTCTGAGAGAAGAACTTCATTGAAATTATTTAGGACTGCTATGTCATCAGTTTCTTTACAAACTTTCATGATTTTACATATATTGGGAATAATGCAGGTTTGGGATGCTTTGCTTTACCTGAAGTTAGTGAACTACATGAGAGAATAGGTTTTTCCCAGCTTTGCAGATGGGGCTTTCACGGTTTTCCCCACACTGTTACAAATGGAGAACTAGTCCTCAGCATGTGTACATTTTGCAGTTTTTTGTGAAATCAATTTCTAGTGCAATAATGCAGGTACACACTCCTTCCCTGAACTTTCTGATAGTGGCTCTACGTCTTTTAGTCCTTAATTAATATGGCTACCAAGCCTTGCTCAGAAACAGACTCTTCCCTCAGCACTTACGATTAATTGAAAGAACACTAGCTTTCATTCTGCTGACTTTTCACTGAGAACATTTAGGCAAATGTCAGAGACTTTTCTATTCACAAGAACTTTCTAACTGTGCTTTCAGACATTGATGCTGAAAGTACACCCAGCAGGGAGTTACAGCCATTCCTGGCTCCCTGATGAGCATATGTATTCACAAGATATGTCAGCCATGTGGCAAACACAAGGCTTTACTCAGAAGTTGTTTACATTTTACATTTTCAAGTGGACCCTTAAAACACCCTTAGGTGGACACCTAAAAGAAAAAGTACAGTGTGAATCAGATTTAACAAGCCAATAAACACTTGATCGTGTTTCTTTATGTGTGAATACTGCTGTAAAGTTAAAGATGGAAAACAGGATCACCACCAATACAAACAAACTCCTACATCTAGTGTGCTTTTGTCTCAGGGCCAATTGACAATGTAATTCACTGGATCCATTTCTGATCTCAGTTACCCGAAATCTATTTCGGTTTGGTTCTTTCTTCACATTACTACAGAGTCAAAGATATGTTCTGGCTAGGTCATGGCTTGGCAACAGTATTTATGACAGTAAGAATATTCATCCTAGATCTACAATGTCAGGTCTGTGGGTATTTCCTCCCTATGTTGAAATGCCACAGAGGAGTGTTCTTTTTTCTCCTCTACTAGTGGTGGATTCATGGGTACAGCTGGAAATAAGGCAAAACACTTTGCTACTAACCATCAGAATCTCCGCTCATGTTAAAATCCATCATAGCATGGCTAAACTTCCCGTCTTCATTCTGTTTGACGGCCAATTGCTGAGTCAAGTTCTCCAGTGTCGTTTTGTCCTGGGTGAGGAATGAAGAGAGGGTATTTTTATTAACACACAATCAAACCACAAAGTTCGTAGGTAATTTGCAAGATTCCCCAGGGAAAGAGGATTATAAAATAAGAAAGGAGACCATTGAGCTGGAAAAGTAAATTAAAGGGGAAAATAATAGTCATTCTTGGGAGGTTTTATGAACGAAAAGTATGACATGTAAAAATATTCCTTATTAGCTGACAACAAGTAAACCTCCAAATCGTGTGAAATTCAGACTGGCTTGACACCCATCAGATATTTGGATATCTCTCAAAGAACTCACAAGGTTTTGATAAATGCCATTGTACTGCAGAGGTATTTTGTCTACTTTCTTACTCATAAACACTAAAGGCTACTTAAGATATTGATACTTGTGCTTGAAAAAAAAAACCTTGTAAAACGTAACAGTGCAATCCATGGAAAACCAAGAGCTGGCCAAGGCCATTGCTGATGTTATTGTTTTCCATTTTCTTGGCTAAGGGGCATGAAAAGCAATTGGGGAATTAGCCAAAGGCTAAGTCTGAGCCAAATGGCTAACCTGTTCATAGGAAAACAAAAGAACTGGTAATTTTTCAAAGCTGACTTGAACAAAGGATAGTCACAGGTAGCATTTGCTCCCCTGCTGTTAAACAAAAACAATATGCAAGGGATACTTTCCTCAAATTGTTTTATAATGATATGATGAGGTCAGAATGTGGACAATATGGCCTGCTCTCATTCTGCTGTTGTGTGTATATGTTTGTATCTGTGTGCATGTGTATAGACATAGACATAAATAAAGACTATACATATTTAGAAGCAGTGAATGTAACAAACACCACAAAGTGTGCAAAATGTGATGGAAGGTGACAACATGGTGCATGTTAAGCAGTGATTGTTAATGGCTGCCATGCCAGAGCAGTGTTGAATCCACTTTAGGGTTTGAAGCACTATCCATTGTGCTGAATAACTTTGGAAGAAATTTTCAGCAACATGGATAGTTCCTTTAATATATGAAGTAAAGCTTGGAGTGCAATCACTACTAAATTGACCTGGAAGCCACCAATCACCATTGGTGGTATCTTGGTGTTTTGGTTAAAGGTGTGGGGAGAAAAAAAGAGAGAGAGAACAAATGGGATTCATAGGAAATTCCACCAAGTGTAATATAATCTAACCCATGAACTTTCCTGCATTGATTATTGATTGATTGATTGATTGTAATCTGTTGCCCTTTTTGTGGGCCACAAGCAGCATTGACCTGGAGTCCCCGGTGGTGCAGTGGGTTAAACCCCTGTGCCAGCAGGACTGAAGACCGACAGGTCATAGAATCATAGAATCATAGAATCAAAGAGTTGGAAGAGACCTCATGGGCCATCCAGTCCAACCCCCTGCCAAGAAGCAGGAATATTGCATTCAAATCACCCGACAAATGGCCATCAAGCCTCTGCTTAAAAGCTTCCAAAGAAGGAGCTTCCACCACACTCCGGGGCAGAGAGTTCCACTGCTGAACGGCTCTCACAGTCAGGAAGTTCTTCCTCATGTTCAGATGGAATCTCCTCTCTTGTAGTTTGAAGCCATTGTTCAGCGTCCTAGTCTCCAAGGAAGCAGAAAACAAGCTTGCTCCCTCCTCCCTGTGGCTTCCTCTCACATATTTATACATGGCTATCATATCTCCTCTCAGCCTTCTCTTCTTCAGGCTAAACATGCCCAGCTCCTTAAGCCGCTCCTCATAGGGCTTGTTTTCCAGACCTTGATCATTTTAGTCGCCCCTCCTCTGGACACATTCTAGCTTGTCAACATCTCCCTTCAATTGTGGTGCCCAGAATTGGACACAATATTCCAGATGTGGTCTAACCAAAACAGAATAGAGGGGTAGCATTACTTCCCTAGATCTAGACATATTTATATTGCCGCCACAATCACATTGTTGGCTCATGTTTAATGTTGTCCACGAGGACTCCAAGATCTTTTCACACGTCCTGCTCTCAAGCCAGACCCCCATTCTTATCTTTGCATTTCGTTTTTCTGCCTAAGTGGAGTATCTTGCATTTCCTGTTGAACTTCATTTTGTTAGTTTTGGCCCATCTCTCTAATCTGTCAAGATCGTTTTGAATTCTGCTCCTGTCCTCTGGAGTATTGGCTATCCCTCCCAATTTGGTGTCGTCTGCAAACTTGATGATCCTGCCTTCTAGCTGTGCCGGCAGGACTGAAGACCGACAGGTCGCAGGTTCGAATCCGGGGAGAGGCGGATGAGCTCCCTCTATCAGCTCCAGCTCCTCATGTGGGGACATGAGAGAAGCCTCCCACAAGGATGATAAAAACATCAAATCATCCAGGCGTCCCCTGTGCAACGTCCTTGCAGACAACCAATTTTCTCACACCAGAAGCGACTTGCAGTTTCTCAAAGTTGCTCCTGACACAACAAAAAAAGCATTGACCTATCTTTGGCACTGCCAAAGTTTTCTCCACAGCAGAATTGGAACTTGAAATAATAACTTTTTTGGATTATACTTTCCCCTGTACATGTGCATTTTTCCAAGCTCTGAGTGTATTCCCTTCCATGACTTCTTGCTCTGGGATTCCTTTGAGTGTTTGAGAATTGCCTAGATTCATCACAGTAACTGGGGAATCTCGGAAACCTGACGGCACACTCAAAATGCTGGCAAGTGCCCACTCCATGTTTGCAAACATGGGCTTCCAACGAAGAACTCTTGGGTCTGAAAACATTAGGTAATGAATGATCAGCAGTGTTTGATGAAATTGAAGAAGTGTGGATCTACTCTGGTGGCTCAAAGGAGGATTGTGTGGATCTGGTAGTTCTTTGTGTCTTCAGACGCCAGAGAAAGCAGCACTGGGGAAGTTTGATATAGAAAGCGCAAGCATCCCCTCTGTTCATCTGGAGCTGCAGAGTTCAACCTGCCTGGCTTTCAACCGTTTCCTTCTGTGGAACACTCAAGCGCTAAGAGAGGGGAGAAACTGAAGACTCCGTTTCAGTGACAAGGCGACCCCTAACCTTCCACTACTAAAACATGCAGTATAATAAAATAATTCAATTAGTCACAATCAAAAGGAAAGTTGAGATAATTCTCAGAGGCTGTCACTCCAAAACCCAGCAATGTCAAAACAGTCAGCGCAGCTTTTGTTATGCCCCTCTGAGCCATGACTTCAGTGAACCTTCAGTCAATCTCAGAAGAGAGGGAACAGAGAAGAAGGATGGGATGTGGGAGCTGGCAGTGGGGCAGCGGAGGTGAAAAAGCAAGTTGCTAAAAGCTTTAATTATAGAACAACAGAGTGGCCTCCAAGGCAGAAAAAAGCCCCACTGCTGCCACTGTTACACAGAACAAATCACTGCCACTGAACAAGGAGCAAAATAACAACGTTAATCAAAAACTCAAAAGAGGAAAAAAAAAGCCATGAAAGCACTTGCACGCGCAAAGTAAGTTATTTGATCATAAAAGAAAGGACCCCAATAATCCATAAATTAAATGGAATGGTTCATCGAAGGCTGGGCCATTTAAAGGGTAAAATCCTAGCCCTCAGTTGGAATATTGTAGGGGGTTAAAGAGGAAAAAATGGGAACGTTTTATGCCAGGCTTAATGAATGATGTATGTATGTTTGTGGAGTATGTTTCAAGGTGAGAATCATTAACGCAATTCTGGCCTCTTTTATTAAGTGCAATGCTTTTGTGGACATTAGTCAAGAAGACAAAAGGGGAAGAATGGAGCAACCTCCTATCACGGCTTCTAGGATAAACTATAATATAATAAACTAGAGTCAAGGAAGTTATACTGCTTTTTTTCAGGTCAGGAGTGACTTGAGAAACTGCAAGTCTCTTCTGGTGTGAGAGAATTGGCCATCTGCAAGGATGTTGCTCAGGGGATGCCTGGATGTTTGATGTTTTACCATCCCTGTGGGAGGCTTCTCTCATGTCCCCTCACGGGGAGCTGGAGATGACAGAGGGAGCTCTACCCACTCTCCCTGGAATGATGTATGTATGTATGTATGTATGTATGTATGTGGAGCATGTTTCAAGGTGAGAATCATTAAAGCAATTCTGGCCTCTTTTAGTAAGTGCAATGCTATTGTGGACATTAGTCAAAAAGACAAAAGGGGAAGAATCATAGAATCAAAGAATTGGAAGAGTCCAACCCCCTGCCAAGAAGCAGGAATATTGCATTCAAATCACCCCTGACAGATGGCCATCCAGCCTCTGCTTAAAAGCTTCCAAAGAAGGAGCCTCCACCACACTCTGGGGCAGAGAGTTCCACTGCTGAACGGCTCTCACAGTCAGGAAGTTCTTCCTCATGTTCAGATGGAATCTCCTCTCTTGTAGTTTGAAGCCATTGTTTCGAGTCCTAGTCTCCAAGGAAGCAGAAAACAAGTTTGCTCCCTCCTCCCTGTGGCTTCCTCTCACATATTTATACATGGCTATCATATCTCCTCTCAGCCTTCTCAGAATGGAGCAACCTCCTATCACAGCTTCTAGGATAAACTATAATATAATAAACTAGAGTCAAGTAAGTTAGACTGCTTTTTTTCAGGTCAGGAGCGACTTGAGAAACTGCAAGTCGCTTCTGGTGTGAGAGAATTGGCCATCTGCAAGGATGTTGCTCAGGGGACGCCTGGATGTTTGATGTTTTACCATCCTTGTGGGAGGCTTCTCTCATGTCCCCTCATGGAGAGCTGGAGCTGACAGAGGGAGCTCTACCCGCTTTCCCTGGATTCAAACTGCTGACCAGCTTAACCCACTGCACCACCAGGGGCTCTAAGTTATACCGTTGAAGCCAGGGAAGAGACGGTCTTCATACGAGGGAGGGAAAGTGTTAAATTACCTCATTTCCACCTACTATAAATCCTGGAATTAAGCATTTCCCTTTCCTGTTTCTTTTTGCTCTCTAGGCAGAGTTTTGATGCAACTTCTCCCTATGCTAAAGATTTCATAGTTCTCTAAAACCAGTGTGTCAAAAGGCCATAAAATGAACAGCGAAGTGAATCACAAAACCTGC